TATTAAGTAAGGACTTGTGTTGCTAAAGTTTCGTCCGAACGAAGTTACGGGAAGTTAATTAACAAACAGAGACGTAACAATATATATATTACACCTGTAGACTACCACAACTATAATTCACATGATAATGATTGTGAATTACTCCATGACCTTGTTCTTTAACCTACAACAATAAGGCACGAGAGAAAATGTCTTTTATGTAAATATCTCGCCACAACAAAAATCAGACTTCACCAATATAGCTACTGCAAACAATTGCTGTTTCACATGTCTAGTGAAACAAAGTCAGTAAACTAAATCACATTTTATGAATTACATGCTAAATTCTCATTACTAACTTCCGAACATAAGTTGTTATAAAAGTTTAATTAAATTAAAACCTAAATAAAATTATGAAATATTTTATTGAATACAACTTGGTGATGGTAATTAAAAATAAACTTAAAATTACAAACTTTGTTAGTTATAATGCATATTTGAAAAGCTAATCATTAGTGTTAAAAATAAGTAGAAGTGAAATTATAAATCTAGTATTATTTATTATAACAGTTATTGCTTGAGAACAGTTTTAAAAGAGCTAGGATTCTCAAGGGCTGTACCTTGTAATTCAATAGTTTTTGTTTGTTTGTTTGTTATGAATTTCTTGCAAAGTTACACAAGGCTATCTGCGCTAGCCATCCCTAATTTAGCAGTGTAAGACTAGAGGGAAGGCAGCTAGTCATCACCACCCACCGCCAACTCTTGGAATAGGTTTTGTTATGGTAACCATGACAAAGGTTATTTACTGGTAACTAAGCCATAATCACTAAACATAGTGGATTATTTTTCAGAACCTGCTAATACATATTTAAGCCAACTTGTTTAGACACAAAAAGTGTTCTTGGAAACATTAATTTTTATTATTATTAGTATCTAAAATTCTTGTGAATTATTCCTATATTTTGTAGCTAAATATATTTTTAATACATTTGTACATAACACAAAATGACAGTGTAAAGACTTTCCATTTCTCATAACCAAACATGCTGCAGGAAAACATTGTCAATAAATTTTAAAGTTGTTTATTTTTTAGAATAATACAAATAATTTTCACATTCAAAATGTATAAAATATCTTTAACTAATAACTATATTGTATAAAAGTCCACTTTTATTTTTTTGTATCTAACAAGAAAAACAATATCTTGTACAGTAACCATGAACACTTAACATAGTTTTCATGGTTTTATAAATTGTTAATTAAATTATGATAACATTAAAAATATTCTAAAAATCTATATTGTCAGAATATAATAAAATCACAAACATTTTCTTTTGTACTTTGTAAGGCTACATGATCTGTTCTATGTTATCATATAAAACTACTAAAAAATCATATAATAAGCATAAACATCTTATCTTACTTAGCTGATCTTTAATTGATGAATATGAACATACTGTTATTACCAATAACTTACATTTTTCAAACACAAAATTCAGTATTGAATTCAACAGATAATAATTAACAACTGTTTAGTCAAGTTTCTATGTAATGTTTATAGAATTAAAATTTCTACCCAAGAATGTATTTCCAATAGATACTTACCTTCACCTCACCCAAAGCTAACTCAATCCTAGTCTGCCTTCTAAGCACTGCTAAAGTAAAAAAAAAGTTGTTACAGTGCACCAGCCTTTATATTCCATCAGTTCTGCACCATTTTAGAACATGTGCTCATCATGTGACTACCCTCCACCAATCATACTGCACCATCTATACTAGCACAGCTAACTCCCTCTACTATTCTAGAACAATCTTCACTTTCGAGAGTTAGCAGGTACAAACTAGAAACGCTGGCATATCAGTGGGGAGGAAGGGTGGGAAGTTGGTGAATGGAGGTAAATACCTATCAGAAATATATTTTCAGTGTAAGAAAATGTTAACTTCTGAAATAGCAACTGCAGTAAAAGAACAGGTGTGTAAGAATATGAAAAGAAAGCACACCTGTGGGGCATAGCACTACTTCTGGAACAGGTATGCTCTTCACCGAGTAATCAACACAGTACCATAAAGAGGGTAGAACTGAATTGGCAGGCACCAATGCATTCAGTAAAGAGATGTACAGAACAAAATCACTGGAGAAATGCTGTAGATCTATGTCTTGAAACAGCACAGTATTGACAAACACTGAAAGTCTAGTGTGTAAGCAACAATGGGCCCATATAAGTATGTACCAAGGGTAGTGCCTTGGGTTATATCAAAGTATGTCAAGTGCAGTCCATCCAAAAACATTCAGTGGAAGCACCTTGCATAAGATCTGGATATTAACAAGTGCAGTTTGACTGGGCAACACCTGGGAGGAGTCCGGAGGAATGACACATCATGTATACATAATAATAGGCTGCCTGCAATTCCCTATGTATGTAGACTACAGTAGAATCACATGTCAGTAGAAATCTCCATCTACTTTAATCATGAGGTCCATGAGTGACTGTCCTTTATAAATAAAATTAGATTGGACCTCTCCAACTAGATCAGAAAACCTCATCAGATTAGTTTCTTAAAGAAGTAAACAGGTGTGTTTGACCGAATGGGCATGGGAAGAGGCAAACAGGAACCAGTCGTCTATGAAAAAGAGAGACCAAAGACCCAACAAATGAAAATGATGGGCAAAAGAGCATTCGACTCAACAAAACACAAGATGCCCAAGAAGTACCAAACAGCAGTGCCTGGAACTGGAAGACATGACCCTTCTGGCTGAACTGAAGAAAAAGATGTGACACTGGAGCAGTTGGAATATGAAGACAGGCATCCATCACAATTTGGCCATCCAGAGTCCCAGGGGGGAAAAAAAGAAACCAAGGTGAGAGGAAGGACTTCATGGTGAAGTGAGGAGACTCCAAATAAGAGTTCAACCTGGGACAGGTCTACGACAGGTCCCCAATCTCCAGTCTTTTGAGGGACAACAATTAGAGGAAAGTAAAACACTGGGTGAGTGGATACCACTCGTTTGACAGCCCCTTTGTGTAGTAGGTCTTGAACAGACTGGGCAAGACGACTGAAAGAGGTACAATCCTGAGGAGGAAGGAAGGAGATCTGGGAAGTGGATGGGGGGGGACTGAAGACAGAAACTTTCAGACAGAACCACTAGAATCCATGGAACTGTAGTGAAGTGTAACATAAAGGCACACAACTAAAGATACTTAGAGAAAGTACTCCTACCAATGAACTAACAAAATCTAGGAATTTGTACAGTCTACAAAGTATAAAAAATAACAAACCTACAAAACATAAAATAATAAGCAACTCCTAAAGTACAAAAGCATTAAAGGAACTTAAAAACACATAAATATCAAATTTATGAGTCCACTCAAAGAATCAATAAGACAAAGTACACAAAAGTCAAACCTACCCTGAAGAACATGAGAATGAAAAGGCATCCAGTTAACAATAACAAAAACTTGACTCAAATCTAATTCCCAATTAGATGTGACTAGTAATAAAGAAAAAGGAACTTACAAACTGACTAATGTAAACAGTAAAAGCTAGTGTAAATAACAAACCAATACACCCACAAAATTGGCCAAAATTACAATTATCCAAACAGTAACTATCATGCAAAACCCATACACATACTGAAAACTAAACAAAAACAAAGTAATAATCAATCTCAAAATGTAAATTTAAACTAAAGTAACTAAGATGGTAAAAGAATTAGAAAAATCTAACTTACCAAACACTGAGAAGACACAAAAGACCTAAATTGTCACGTGAGTAAATTAGTTCAATCCACACAAGCTCACATAAACTTGCTAAACATTGGTATACTTACAGGGAGTGAGGAATACATGCTGAAAAACTTACCACAGATCTCCTGAGAAAAAGAACAATACCAAACTCAGGAGATTACTTGGAGGCATGGTAATAGGTGGATAGTGCTGTAGAAAGAAATTTTCTCTCAGTTGTTGTATCCTTCTTAAAAAACTCATAACGTGAAAGGAAGAAATCATCGGCCTAATGTAAGACATGAGCTCCCCGTAAACTAAAGCCTGTACTTTCCAAGCAGACATCGTCAACCCTGAAAACTGGGGACTTGTGTCAAAATCATTGTCGACCGTCACAGGAACTTCATCATCTGCCATATTAAATCTTTAATTCATATGAACAAATTAGAATTTGAGAAACAGAAATATTTCCAAAACAAATGAGGATAAACAATGGAAATCAAACACAATAATATGAAACTTGAAGTTGAAACTGATATAAGTTTGTGATCAAGCACAATCAAAACTTTGTAGTCACATGATCAGCATGTTCTGAAATGGTGCAAAACTGATGGAGTATAAAGACTAGTGCACTCTAGCAAAGTTTTTTTAAGCAATGCTTAGAGAGCAGACCAGGATCGAGATAGCTTTTGGTGAGACCATTTTAGAATTATGGATACAAATAACTCATTATAAAATTTTAGCTAAACAAGTAGTTTATCATCATGAAAATGATGTTCAAACAACATAGTATCTGGTATTTACTTAAATGAATTTAGATCAAAATGAGAAAATTAACATCTTTGTTATTTAAAAAAAATTTCATAACATTACAAACAATATTTTCAAATTTATTTAAAAAAAAACCACCTGAACAGGTGCCATAAAAAAGATTAATAAAATATTTCTAATTTGTTGTGAAATATGAATGTATTCCAATTTAAAAAAAGGAAAACATTTTATTCTTTATTCTTAATACCTCTTAGTATTTTGTATTTAACCCAAAACTTTCTTCTCAATAGATAAACAGATATTCTTTCTTCCAAATAATGACAAACAGATTTTAGGCAACTTAATCACACATCACCACAACTCATAGCTTGAAAAAACACCATAGCACATCCAACTTGATTGACTTGTCATGGGACTGATCTCTACAGGAAATGTTTAACATAAAAGAAATTATCAAAATATTGTATAATAAACGTTTTTCTTAAATAAGTACACATTTTAATAACAATGGAGAAAAATAACAAATTTTGATTTAATTCAGACACAACTTACTTCACTTGATGCATAGTGGCTTCTAGCTAGTAGCTCTTTTCCGAGGTTTATACAAACAGATAAGTTGTCTTCTCTGGCATCTATCTCAGCCTTCAAGCTTTGATGGTTATTCATCAGCAATTCAACACCTGAAACATCCCTATAGTAAAAGTCACAGAATTATTATCATCAGAACACTAAAAGTTTGTGATTAAAAAGTAGGATAATAACAAAACTCAATCTTGAATGCCTTTGGAATCAAAACAAAATCACATACTTTTTGTCAATAAATAAACAGCACAGTTTAATAGTATAAATACATTTAACTAACAAGACAATATTGCTCATACCAACAGGTAAAATGTTTCTACTTTCAACAGATCAACTGGATAAGAATCCTACTACAATTTTCATGGATATATAAATTGGGTTCATTTCTTGTTGGTACCAAAATTAACATTTAATATCTATTAGTAGAATGCCAATATTAACTGATGTGCTTCTTAAAGTACTTGAGCAACCTAAAAAACTATAAACTTTCTTAATAAAAATAAAGAATTACAAAGCCTGCTTCGCTTGCCTGTTTAAAATGTTATGCAACACTACTTTGGCCAAACCTCATTTAAGATATTAAAAACCATTCTGTAACATACCACACACTCCATTAACAGTCTATAAGTAAGCTTGGTTATTTTGACCAATGTGACCATGAAAATATACATACTATGACCTTGAATTTAATAAGTGTATATTCATGTAATGTGGCAAACATTTAGTAAAACAATACAAGTCTGTTGTATAAAAGTATTTTTTACTAAATATTTGTATAAGAATTTACAAGACCTTTACTGAGTCAGTCTGACTCAGACTCTAATTAGTCTGAGTTCAAGGTGATTTTCATAATCAGAAAAAAAAAAATTTCATCTTTCTTTTGAATAACCTCTAGAATCTCCTAAATCAATATCAAAAGTTTTTTCGGTAAAACCTAATATTTTTGTAGGTTTTAGCCAGTAAAATTACAAAACTTGATAAAAAATTCTAATGATTCAAGAGTAAATGTTAGGATTTTATGACCCATTACACACACACTTGCATCTGGAATGACATTTGAAAAGGCCAAATTAAAAAATATAGTGGTAATAATTAGAGATGGGAAAAAAAAAAAAAGAGTAGTTTAGTCTGATATTAAATTTTGGATATCTAGCTCCTGATATCCAACCAAACTCTGATATTTTTCATGTTGCATAGTAAATTTGACAACATACATCCCAAATGCACTGCAGGCATAAGCTACCCCTTCATTATGGTATAGTACTAAAACTAGTTATTTCACCAACTGTTTTTGAAAATTAATAATCTACGTAGGAATGTACAATTCTGAACAAATGAGCAGGCTGTGTTATTTGACTGTGCTTGCTTTTGCTTTTACTGCCATTACCACTTGTGACATCCAGTGGCAACACAACTGGAGCATCTGATGTTTATTTAAACTACATAACGAGTATATGTATTACAACTATTATGACTAGTGCTACCACGGAAAATGTTAATTCTGCAACTAATATAACTAATCACTCCTAGGTTCTTCTAAATGTTTTACAAATAAAATGAGTGATTTCATTCACTTTATCCTAGTCAACTCTTTATAGTTAGTGTATTAACATGTTAAAACACAAAATTACTTAATATGAGGCAATATGTATCATACCCCAACCAGTAGTAAATGGTATAAAAACTAGTCACCAAAAATCCTATCAACATGAAACACACATAAAACATTAGCTCGCAGAGGCAGCATGAAGCGCATCTCTGGTCTCATCTACGAAGAAACCCGAGGTGTTTTGAAGGTTTTCCTCAAAAATGTAATCTGTGATGCTGTTACCTATATGGAGCATGCCAAGAGAATGACTGTGACTGCCATGGATGTAGTGTATGCTCTGAAATGACAAGGTCACACTGTACGGTTTCGGAGGTTAAATGTCCACGTTTCACTTTTAAAAAATGGCCCTTTTCGGGGCCACCACATCCTAGTCAACTCTTTATAGTTAGTGTATTAACATGTTAAAACACAAAATTACTTAATATGAGGCAATATGTATTATACCCCACCAGTAGTAAATGGTATAAAAACTAGTCACCAAAAAACCTATCAACATGAAACACACATAAAACATTAGCTTTAACAACCTCGGTTTTTCAGTTGTGTTCATCTGTCTCACGATATCTTCCATCCAGAGCATCAAGTCTCTCACCATATTAAGAAAGCGGAAAAGATCACCAGTGTCTGCTAACTTCACTCGTTTATTTTGACACATTGTAAGTAATTTTTGCCAAGCATTAACAACCTCAGATTCCCGTCCAATAATCTCCTGAGCTTTTTCTCCAGCATATGATGCTTGTAAATTCTCAGATTCATCCTTGATCTGTGTTACCTATTATTAATGAATAAAAAATGATACTTTTGTAACCTAGATGATTCATTCTTAATCACTAGAAGTAAGAATTTAATTGTGTTCATTTACATTCCACAGAATAAGTACCTGTTTCAGACACTATTTACATTACTTTTAACAAGAATGATATACTACCTTTCTATATGTAATCCTCATTACATGTACAACAGATTTTTATAGGTACAACTCTAATGAGCTATAATTACAATCATATGATGCCTGTAATAAGTCTCTAATAAAATATTTTAGCAGAGTTTGGTTAAATCCTTTAATGATATTCTGAAACAGATTAACTACTAACAATGAGCAAAAGATCTACTTACTGCTATTTCAATAGTCTGTAGGTCATGTTCAAAGCTTGCATGCTTTCTTTGCAGATTGGACACACTAACAGCATCACGTCCAAGCTCATCAGAAATAGCATTTTGTTTTTCCTTGAAGAAATTGGAAAATTCTCTAGCTTAAAACCTCTTGGCTATCTTATTTTTTTACACTCTCTAAGTGATTAACATTTTAGGTAATTAGACATAATAAATGTGTCCGCTAGACTGAATGAAATTGTAAGATACAGTTAAACCTAAAATCAAGTTTCTGAATCAAAACTGATTATATTTTTATTAAGCTCATAGTACATAAAACTTGTGTAAAGCATGAAAGGAACAAAGTACAGTGCTAGTAAAAAAAAAATTGTGTTTATAATAATAAGTTTCATATATGAAGATAGAGCACTACTTGGATCTCTACATCATTTTAAATCTTTTATTACCTTGTTTTAATATGTGGGTTTTTTTTACACTAAAATATTTATAATGAAGTGTAAATAAAATATTATCACAATAATAGGGAAAAAATAACCTATAAAAGTAAAATTCTCCAGTAAAATACTTTTAATTTTTTATATCTTCTCTTACACTTTCAACAAAACATCAGAGAGATCCGAAACTGGAACAGAGAAATGTTAAACTAAAACTCAGTACAAATTTTTAAAATATTCAGAGCCAGAAATTTCAAACTATTGGCATAAAGTTTATGTGTGCCAAGAAATGATATTGGAAAAAAAATACAACAGCACATTAACAGTGTAAATAAAAACATTCTTAATACATCTTTTGGGAATACTAATTACTTTCAAAGGCCTATAACAGTCAGATAAGATACAAACACTTCTACATGAATTTAAATAAGAAGATAATATGCTCATTAAGCCAAGGAAAGATCACTCATATTAACTTCATATAGAATTTCAAGGTAAAAAGTGTTGCTATTTCTTAATAGTTTGTCATTAAAAAATAAATATCATTTACAACATTAAAGTTTTTTATAAATAATGTGATGATATTGCTATTAGTGTGAAATTTTGTTGACATAAAAGAAAAATAAGAAAATTTCTTCACAAAGAAAGGGATTTAATTTAAAACACTTCAGTATAAAAAAGTCTTTACCACAATGCGGCCATAGACATCTTTGCAATCATGGAAGAATCTTTGTAGCTGCCAGGAAGCTGCTAGCATCTGTGTCCTTGTGTCAATAAGTTCTAACAAGTCTGCCCAAGCCTCATTGAGGGTGTCTTTCCACTCAGCAATAGTGGCACTGTCTGAATGACCCAAGTTAATCAGGTTGTCAGCACTTTGGTTGAATTCTGTTACTCGTTCATTTCCAATATGTTCAGTATCTCGAGCAAAGATTTTAAATCGTTCTCGAAGCATCTAAAGTACAAGAACTTTCTTTGATTAATTTATTGAAGACCAAATATCTCTATAAAAATTCTGGTTGAAAGTTAACAGTCAGTTAATGATCTTAAAAGAAAAATGTAATGATTGACCTGTTATCCTGTGTTCACAAACCCAAAACTATATTATTAATGCAGGTTACTATTTATATGCGCAAAGGTCAAAATCTAGTCATAACTTTCATGACTCTACATAAAAACACAACAAATTTATCTTCAAAAAAATTATTGTTTTAATACTTCTGATCATTATGTAAGTAATAAATTCTGAAGAAATGTGATAAAATTGTTATATCTGAAAATTATGTTAGAGAAATCATACTAGGCTGTGACATTTATTTACAGACTGATTTTCACTTGGTCACATGATGAATCAACTAGTTACTGGATTAGTAACATTACCATATTAGAACTAGAGCTGTGCAATTAGTAGAATTTGATAACCAATTAATCATCAGCTCATTAATCAATTACATTCAAGTGGTCCAATGTTCTCATGTAAGATTCATCCTGGTTGAATAATTGAAAATAGTAATAATCAGAAACACTAATTTTGATTAGTTGATTATTTTCTTGAGTCATAATACTAATTGATTAAGCTGAACAATCTTTAATTAATTGAAAATAATAATGAGAAATCATAATGGCAATATTTTGAGTACTTGAATAGTAGGAATAATCAAAAATACCAATTTCAATTGGTTGATTTTCATGACATTAGTTACTTTCATCTTGATTTCAATTAAACAATTATTTTATGTGACACTAATCAATGTAATTGATGATCCTAAGTAATTGATTATACTAATTAAGTTAATCACCCAGCTCTAATTAGAACAAGTTCTGATGAACAGACATATCAATAAATTTAAGCCAAGTACACTAGGATATTTTTTTTATAAATTTATGACACAAATAGTCTCTGTAGAAAAGTAATAAGAGATATTTTTCATTGTGGGAGGTCAGTGATATAGGTCTATTTACTTTTAGATTACAAGTAATACATGTATAACTTGGTTTTGAAATTATCTAAACTAAAAAGCAAGAAAGCGACATACACTACATAAAACCTAAAAATTTGCTATTAAATTCTTTACAGAATTTCACAATTGTTCCCTAGTTCCCGATATTCTGTAACTATAACATACCGTAACATGATCATAATCCTGTCCTAGTTCCTGAGATCCTGCCACTACCTCCTTCTCAGCTATCCATTGCATTAGATCATCCACTTCTCTGTTCAAAGAGAAGAGCTTAAGAGCTTCATCCAATTTACCACGTCTCTCAGAGGCAAGATCTTTAAGTCCAGCATAAAGTTTGTCAATTTGAGATTGTCGAATTGCAAGTTGATCACTGGAGGAAGATGAACACAGAGTATTCAATGTTTCAAATAATAGTTTACTTGATAAAGTAACAGTTTTAAAATATAAAAATACACACATACATAATAAATATTCTTGGTACTTAAGTGTTCCAAAGATTAATTAAACTACAAAAATTAATGTGGTGAAGGAACATATATCAGTGTACTAAAGGGGTCTATGTTATCTCTTTCACTGCATTGTGCCATAGGGTCTACAGTACAATATGAGCTTGAAAGTGTACATTGTGATTTATAATTCTGAGCATATACTAACCTTCTTTTCCTCTATCACCAAATAGATGCATTTGCCTTGGCTAGAAAATATAATGCATCCCAGTGAAAACTCAAAGTTTTCTAATGATCATATGATGTGTATACAACATGACCCTGTCATGTGATTACTACCTATCTTCAGTAGGATAAATGGAATCACTTATTTAAAAACAGTCATATTTAAAAGTAAACCTTGGTTAACCCTATGTGGATGGCATTTGTGCTTTGCTTCATAGACACTATACATAGCAATGTTTACAACAATTCCAAATTTTCTAAGTGTATTTTCACAAAATTTGGTAGGCTTTCAATAAGCATTACAAATATGTTGTTCCAAAAAAAAAACTAAATCAGAATTTTTTTCTATGAATTACTGAGTTAGTCTGGGTGCAAGATGTTTTTTCCATTTTAAAAATAAAAATATTTTTTAGTCCTACAGTTTCAATATTTCATTTTCACAACCTCTAGAACATCCAAAATGAATATCAGAAGTCTTTTTTCAGTAAAAACTATATTTTATCTGTTATTTCCTCTACCTTAACATTCACTGAAGCAAAAGTAGCAATGTAGGGTAAAATTGAAAGTTCAAAAATATGAAATAACTCTACACTAATATTCTTCTTTCTAGAATAAACTTTGAATGCAACTTTGTATAAAAAAAGTCATGACACGTGCAGTTTGATACCACCCCACCATACACATAGGGTTAAATACAATTCCAATCCCAACTTACATTAAAAGTTGTGATACCAATATCACACATCTCTAAAGTCACTTACAAATACATGCCTTTTCAGGCTCATATTCAATACACTACTTGGTGACTATCAGAATATTTTATAAAGGAATACTGCAAATAAAAAACAGGTTTAGACATAATGCAGTATATTAAATAACCATGATAAAACCCATTGACACAGAATACTTTAAAATAAGAGGAAATCTAAAAACTGTCCTGCTAATCCAAAATAATATGTAATAAATGAATCAAAATCACCCTATATTAAAAAATCACCACCCCTTTTAACTACAATTGCGAGTGTTGGACATGCATTTAACAGCTTTAATAAACACCACATCATAAGCTACAGGTAGAATGACTATAATGTTTAACACAAAATAAATTTTACATTCTGAAAAATACTACCACACAAATTTAAAACATTCTATATGAAATTTATAAGGTTATGTTATTAACTACAACACACTTATGTAATTACTGATTATCAAAACATGCAAAACAATTACAAAAATTTGGAAAGAATAATGTTGCTTTCCATATTCTGACTAATATGTATGTAATATTGAGAAAATTTGCTTCCTAACTCTGAAACTTAAAAATTATGTTACCAAATCTAGGTTTATAACACAGTTGTTAGTTCCCCAATTGCTATGGATATTTTCATCTGAACACTCAGAGCTTGGCCTATTTCATGAAATAACCTTATTCTATTGGCAAGCACAACTACAGCATTTTATCCAAGAGATAAAAAATTAAACTAGGTCAAAATAAAATAGCAGCAAAAAAATAAGCACAAAGCTACAAAATCAGCTATCTGCACTGTGCTCACCATGGGTATTATAGCCTAATTTGTAGCATATAAGCCCTCAACCTTACTACTAAGCCAATGGGGTAGGGGTGGCATATAATAGTTTGTGCTCAATGAAGCTAATGTATAACATAGTATTTCTAATACTACATTATGTTTAACTTCTATTAGTAATAGTTTTCTTAGGTGACAAATGTTTTCTATTCATTAACAGTGAAAAAAATTACCATTAACCAAAATCATGTATCAAGTTTTTCAGTCATTTAGAGAATGTGTGTAAAAACACCAGACCTACAGTTTAGTAATTTTTGCCCAAGAAACTTCTCAAACTTTCTATCCCTCAGGAGATGTATACTATAATAGTTTTTCAAATGTAATTCAGAATACACACCCACACAATTGGACACATGCAAAATAAATCAATACCCCCTTTTTAAAATAGTGCTAGTGTTTGATTTAAAATTTTTCATACAGCAAGGTTTTAAAAATTATTGCTCCTAACCAAAAATTATGATCAATAAATACAAACTTTGATAAATATATCTTTTATAATTACAAATATGATTTTCATTGTTATCTGTGTAACTGGATACACTAAAGTGCATGCAAGTGTCTAAAAATTTCAATTTCAGAAAATGGGTTTTAATTCTGAATTATAAATCTTTTGAATATCAACATTCTACCAACTAAATTAGTTACATGGTTCCCACATCTTGGGAAGAATAAAATTTTCTGACCATTTGATCTATGCTTATAATGTATCATTACCTAAAATGTGTGAAATTGCAAGATATTACTAATGTATTATTTAACAAAGACAATACAAGCTATATGATCATACATGCCATTCTCAAATACTGATATTTTGTCAGAACATACTAAAAAAAAGAAGTTTATACAATTCTTTATGATAATGCATACTGTTCATACTTTTTAATTTCAATCACAAAAATGTTATTACATTGAAAACAACACAAATAAATTTTAAAAATTGTAATTAATACATTTCAGCTTTTAATAAACAGAAAGAATACATTCACTATTGTAAAATGGAATATTCTTTAACAAGTACACTTCTCATACATCAAGTATATATTAAAGCAACATTTTATGATGTGCATACTTAAACAAAATGTACAAAAATTTCATTTGCTGATTTTATAAATTGTGTAGGCTTTTATTCTTGTATATGTTGTTGCAAAGTGCTATCTAAAGTTTATAAGTTTAGCTGATAAGAGCACTGTCATACTTGTCCTGCATATTAGAAGTTTTCCTGGTTGGATTAAAACATCCACAACCATCAAATGTTAAATTTTGCCAAAGCACAGTACTCATGTTGATTATACTGATTGGAAACAAACCTATTAAAGGTATTAAAATTAAATATCAGTTACCAGATTGGAAAAGAGAAACTATCACAATAATAAAATGACATCAAATTTTGAATTTGTTTTTAATAAATACAACACAAAATACAAGTAATTCAATATTACTTGAGAACTAAACAAACATCGGAAAATATATAATGATGATTATTATTATTGTTATTATTTATTGTCATTATTATGTAGATATTGTGTGTAGATTTGAGTTGAAAATTCCAGAATAATTATCATACCAGAGTCAAGAGTTTGAATCATTTTATGAACTTATACTATTAGACTGGTTACTTATCCTTTCGTGAAGTTTGTTGATTGGGTAAATCAAAAGAATTGTTTCAGATTGAATTCTAACTTTAATCTTTTGTTTTTGAAAATATTTTGGTAATGCGATCCATCCATAAATAAGATTTCAATACTTTTGATATAGAAGTACTTGAAATGCACGTGCAAAAATAGTAGTGTACTTTGGATCATTGTGTGATTTTGTTAAGTAAGTGAAGTGTTTTATAGATATCAAAAATATGAGTTTACTACAGTGTATGGGTATTGCAAAGTAAATAACATGTATTACTGTATTACCTGTTTGATCCTCTTAATTTTATCCCTGTAAGACATAATTCACTGGACTATTATTGGAAAGGGTAGGTTGGGTTGTGGTATTTATGTTTACTTTTTTATCCATTTTCACTAGCTACAGCTCATAAGTTTTTGTTAAGATTGTTAAACTGTTTGCTAAACTATGTCAAACAGATCATAGTCTGATGTTTTCTTCAGGAATTTTACTAAAATGTAATCTTTTGTCAACCTGTATTTCAGTACAGATTTAAGAAGCACAACTACCATGACAACCAGATTTAGATTGTATATCTAGTCATCTTCCATTAAAATAACCCTTTATAATTAAGTGCTTCAGTCTAGATGTATTGGTTTCATTTCAGTAAATCAAACATACAAATATTTGGAATTGTCTCAAACTGAGCTGTATCAAGTGAACCAAGTCATTAAAATGAACCAAACTGCCCAAGTTGTAATATACATCATGACATATAGTGCTATATGCAATGCTTGGTGATGTATGTTTTGTTTTATAAAAAATTAAAATAAAATTACTGATAAATTATTATTTTAGATAATTATTACTGTTATTTTTCATAATTAATTGAATAAATATAAGTACAGATATGAAATAAAACAAAACTTCCCCAAACTGCCAGGCTTTACTGAAATAGTCATACTGTTAATTTTCATTTGACATTTTTCAAATCTTCCTTATACAAACATGTCAATGACATAATATACCCAGGGTATTACATATTCCTTCTATGACTACTGACCTAAGAAGTGTTTTATTAATGTACCAATATTTGTAAGGAGAAAATAGCTTATTAAATAAACAGTATCTCTAAATAGTAATTTGTCATGAGCTTTTTGTTTTGGTCTGTAGTAAAACAATCTTCTGTGACTCGAATTTGGGGAAGAGAAGAAGAAACCTTGTACACAGCCCTTACATTCCATTTAAGCAGAAACCTAGCTACTGTTTATGTAATCTATTACAGCAGCCTTCATACTCCATTACAATTAAACATAGACAAAAAGACTGAAGTAAACCTAATAATGTTTATGTATAAAATACACATTTTGATGTGCTAAATTAATCTTTATGCAATTTTTTGGTTCTAATGATAATTATTTTTCTCCATCTATGTATTAGAACAGCATTTCTTAGCTTTTTTGATACCAGGGACCAGCTCACTACCTCCCTAAACAGCCATGGACCACCAAAAT